CGGCAGCTGTAACAGCGATGGTTTTCTCCCCCCGCAGGCCTGCGCAAAGCGCAGTCCTCTACTCACCAGTAGCTTTTTCCACCCCATATCGGGAGGGGGTGATGTTGATATACTCGCGGTCGCGCTACTGGTAACTGCTGGATTATGTCCTCGCCAAGAGGCGTGACCAAACTTACGTTCTGCAAAGTACCATCTCAAATATGATGTTTTGACCGCAACCCCCCAGGCGACCGCAATGCAAGCCAACACCAGGTATGTAAGCTAACTTCTGTTACTGGATGCTGTCGAACGTCGTTTGAATTTAAGCAGCTTCAGGAACTCCAACCTAGAACAAGTAAAGACCTTGGAGGCGAGTGCCCGTGTCGTGACCCAGCAGAGAAACCTATGGAATGTCATCGAGGGCACCACCATCACAGAAACCTTCGATCGCTCATGTCGACAGAATTCGGATTGGTTCGATGACCATGGCAAAGAAATCTGCCACCTGCTCGGCTACGCACGAACTACACAATCAACAAAAAAGAAATACCGATAAAGCCGCATTTTGGGTGCCGAAGCTTGGTACAGCAGAGGCTGGGGAATATAAACGATGATTGACTGAGTAAGTCCAAGTATACGCTAGACGTAGTGAGATGAGGAATATCTTCTCAGCCATCGAAGTATTCTGAGATTCTATGGTTCAGAGGACTGTGTCACTGTTTCGTCAGAATGGTGCGCTGGATGGCGCACTTCCAGGGCGTCCTTTACCATGCATTTCAAATCTACCAAAAAGTCATCAGTCGTCTGCCGTAAGTGGACACCGACCTCGATCATCCGTATTTCATCCAAGAACCAATAAGCTCAGTGCAAAAATTGCACGATGGAGAAGCACCGGGAGCTGACAAGCGAAGTTTGCAAATATGTACGTGAACCATAATTCATGGAAATGCTTGCTTTACTGTCCCGGAAAAAGTGGCGGTTTGGACACATTCTCCGAGACTTAAAAGATGCCACCATCATTCATGTATATAAAGGCAAGGGTAAGTATGTGACAACAACAGACGCGTCGTCCTCCTCCTTTGCCTAAGTTCTACTCAATCGCCTGACCACGTATGTGGGGTAGCGATTACTTCTAGGAATACAGTGAAGAACCCTAAAACACCTTGGAAAGACGAATATTATCTTCGTGACCCGTCAACCTCAGGAAAAGTGGTGGAAATGTGGACGAAACTGTGCATCACCATCGTGGATCCTACGAAGGTCCTCAACACAGCGAACTTCGGCGGACTCTGGACAGCCATGGAGGAATTTGGATATCAGCAACCATTCACACAACCGGTAACAGAATGACAAGACAGGATGATAGCGCGTGTCATGGGTAACGAGTAACTTTCGGAGGCATTTGCGATGACAAACGGGGTAAAGAAGGGTTGTGTGCTTGCTCCCACCCAATTAAGTCTCATGTTCTCCCCTATCCTGATGGAATACTACCGTGATGAGCAATCGATTAAAAACGCTAACTACCGACGACGTCAAATCTTTGAGTATTTCCAGGGCGAGTATCTACGATCTCTTTTTCACGAGTAACTGCACGCTAGATACCGCAACAGAAGAAGGGATACAGCGAAGTGTAGACCCATTTGACTTTGGCTATTTCAACTTATAACTGATCATCAGTAAAAGAGTACAACAGTTAGGTGCCGGTTGGCGCCAAGTGCTGACTACACTGAACCCCGTACCAATGTCAATGAAAGTCCCCTAACAGCCGTTGACAACTTCGCATACCTTGAGAGTAGAAACTTAAGAGACATCAAGATTGACAAAGGAATTGTAAGTTGGATTTCAAAAACCAGCCAGGACTTTGGCCGACTGCAGAACTCCGTTTGAGACCACTGTGGCATCCTCATCAAGGCTGAACTTAGGGTGCACAGGATTATTGCCCTGACAACGCTCCTGTATGAGGCGGAGACGTGGACTCTGTGTTAAAATTAATCAAGAACACCCAGCCATTCTTACCTCAGTTGCCTTCGGAGAATACCGGAGGCGAAGTGACAGGAACGTGTCTGAGATATTGACATCCTGGAAAGAACTGTTGTTTTCAGGAGCTACGCCAAACTGCGGCAGATATAATTGTAATGGAGCGAACATGTCGTAATTACGGCTGACGACCTCATGCCCGAGTAACTATTCTACAGTGACGTCGTTTCGGGTGTTCGCAGACAAAGCGGACATAAGTGCCACCACAAGGACACCCTAAATTGCTTCCTTAAGTACCAACGAATAGATCAGGACACATGAGAGGACCTCGCTCAAGATCGGCAGGCGTGGCGCAGTGGCGTAAGAACTGGCGCTGTCATCTTCGAAGACAGACGAATAGCTAATGCAAGAACAAAGAAAGGGTCCCGTAAGACTCGAATGTTACGGACCTATAACGTAAGCACCCAATTCCTGCACCCTGTCCACACTATAAACGGAAATTCCGGACACGAATAGACCTTGTTAGACATCTTCGGACCCAATATAGTATCAACACGATCAATCCGCCTCCAAGTTAACAAAACACCGCCACCTCTGACACCGACAACAAGAACACTCCTGCCCCTCTACCCATTATCACCACCACCGCAACTTCCACCAGCTATGTGGACTCAGTTCCAGCTCGTCCCCACTGTAACCACACCTTCGAAATACGTATGTGTCTGGTTGGCCGCTTGCGAAGCCATCGCACTGCGAGCAGAGAACCCGTGTCTGGAGCTCTAATGCCCACCCGTCACACAAGCCTCACCTACTCTCATTTCCCTAGGAAATCCAGACACCGCGTGCGCTTTTTCGGTCATGACATTTTGACCGTCGCGAATGACGATATCCACCGTGTGGTCCACAACAAGGTGGGAGCAAGACGGGATTTGCGCATGAATTGGTTTCTACTGATAGCAAACTTGAGAGGCATCTACCATACTCTCGCCTTCATCACCCACCCACCTGAGGACGATGTCAAAAGAGAGTCAAGAGGGCCGGAGGCGGGATCAGGCGCAGTGGCTGTCTCAGTTAAACAGTCCGCCTACGAGTGCCACACACACACACACTTGGTCAGCGCAGAAGGGACCGGGTCTTGACAAAAGCAAGGGGCGCCTTGAATCGAGTTTGAGTGGAAGTTCCATAGAGGTTACAATAAGAAGGATCCGTTGGAGCCTGACTCTGCGCCCTGAGAGAAGGACTGAATTATCCGGTCACTTGACAGCCTTACGAGCCACGGCTTTAAGCGTGTCGTGATAGTTTAAAAGCATGTCAGATTATTTGTAGGAGGAGGGATATGCGCTGAGTCAGTGGGGCCGCAGTCCCCAGGCTTGACCTCACTCACTCTGCTCTTTCACAAGCCCAAATACACAGTCCAAGCCAGCCAGTCATTTGATGCGGGAATCGGGCGCAGTAGTTGGAGTGGCGCGAAGCCCTTACCTAAGGTGGACGATACATCCCCACAAAGACAGCAGTAGTTATGGACTCGGGCGGACGCTGCGCAGTTTGGTTAACACAACCAGCGAGTCGACATGACACCCTTTTGGTCCAGCACCTCTACGGTGTGGCCCGTTTTGGTAGCTAACCGCAAACACAAGCATACAGCCCTGGGCAATAAGCGTATACACGCCATGTTCCCATAGCACACCCTGCTTCACTCCTGCACCAATCACGCGATCCACCCTGCCATCGCCGATACGGCGAGAGATACGTCCCATGCCAGACCATGCACATCTCACTTATGCGGGCAGCATGTCCTCTGGCATTACTTGGTGCATCGTGTGGGGCGCAAATAGACGAGCTGTTTAGCTTTGTCAGCCATTACAAGCAATTACATCGTCAGCTGGTTGACAAGCTAGGACAGCCGATTTGCGCGTGGGAAAGGAAGGCAAGAGGGAGGTCGACACTCAAGGAATCCACCACCACAACACGTTAGAACATTCCTCACTAGAGTAAAACTGACGCACATGGGTCTTTCACGATGCGCTATCTGCCATGGATTAGGAAGTTGTCAACTGGTGGGATAAGCCGTTCCTTATCCCGATTGAGGATGAAGCTCAATGGCTCCTTTTTGATGCGGCTTCTATGACATTTTCACCTATTTAAGATCCGAGGGAGCTAGTTAATGTAGGGTGTCAAGTGCAGTGGAGGTCAGGTCGCGTGTTTTGCTTTGCCAGCTATCCTGACACTGCCCTGCAAACGGTCCCAGGAGAGTGAGGAAGGATAAAATGCAGTAGGCGCTGCGTAAGTCTTCTTCGTTATAAACCAACTCACTCACAAAGTTCAGGTGTTGCAACCCCA